AATAATGTTTAATCTATGAATATATGGCACACATTTATAACAATAAAGAAGATGACACTGCATTACCCACAGAAGCAGAGTGATATGGGGAGAGAATGTTAACTCTACAGTCAGAATACCTGTGTTCCAAGCCAGCCTCAGTGACCCAAGCAAGTTGCTTAATTCCCATGACATCATTTGCCTCATCCAAAAAAAAAAAAAATGATGGCATTAAAATAGATCAATCAATCATTCAATGAAAGGTTTGTTAAATACTTATCATGCCAAGAAGTTTTCTCCATACTGGAGATAAAAAGAAAAGAAAATAAAAAATAGTGCCTGTTATCAAACTTTTATTCTAATGGGTGAGACAACTGACTGTCTATTTATCTATCTATCTATCTATCTATCTATCTATCTATCTATCTATCTATCTATCTATCTGTGTGTATATATGTTCATAAACACATACACATACACACATGTGTGTATATGTACATATATGTATATGTATGAGTATATGCATATAGACACATACTATATATAGACCCATATATACATATACACACATACATAATACAGAGTAGAGAGAAGGTAACTTTAGATTAGAAAAGAAGGCATCAGAAATCTGGGGGACCAGGAAAGTTCCCAACAAAAAAAGTAATATTTGATCTGAATCTTGAAGTAAGCCAATGATACCAAGACATGAATGCAAACAGGTAGAAAATTTCAACCATACAGAATAGATAGTGTAAAGGCACAGAGTTGGGAAATTGAGCTTCATGGGTGAGGAAGAAAATAAGAGGTAAGATAGAGTAATTTTAACTTCAGGTAATAAATAAAATACAGAATAAAATATACCTATAACACCACTTCCCATTATATATGCATATACATACATATATATGCATATTGGTGTGTGTATACATGTATGCATGTGTGTATATACAAATAAAGACATATATGCCAATGAACAACTCAGCATTTTAAATGTTTCTTTTGATCATGCAGAACTTTTTTTCCTTGTTTATCTTTTATGAGTGACTGTCAGAGAATGTCAAGTTGCACCTAAAATTTAATCTATAGTTCATGTGGCTACTTACAACAAAATAGTGATCAATTAAAGTTTTCAAGGAAAGAAACCTGTGATTTTTAACAGATTCTAAGTAAATTTGAAAAATTATTACTATCAGGAACTTAAGACACTGTTGGAAAATGAGAAAAGAAAGATATGGATAGGTTTACAAAGGATTTCTTGCTGGGGTAAGTAGGGATATAGGGCAGAAATGAATTTATTCTAAAGCCCTACATAAGTTCATGGATAGGCTAAGATAGGAATATTTGTCAGTAGTCTGATAGAATGAAATTATAATCTAAGATTATAGCATAATTTGACATTTATGCATGTGTTACTAGACCCATAACCAGGAATGTTAATATTTGTAGTTAATTTATTTTGGCAATGGAGATGAAATTTAACTAGATCAATGAATTATTCAATGAAATGTTTATAAAATGCTTATGATGCCAGGAAATATTCTATAAACTGGAGATACAAAGAAAAAAAACAAAACTGTTGCCTGTCCTCTTGTCTTCAAGGAGATTACGTTTTAATGCAGGGGAAAACTATATCTTTATATTGATCAATCTATTTCTTATCAACACACATATATATATGCATACACATATCTATATATGTATATAAATGTGTATGTACATGTATGTGATATGTGTCACTCTTTCTTTTCTTCTTTCTCTTCTTCTCTTCCTCCTCCTCCTCCTCCTTCTTCTTCCTCTTCTCCTTCTTCTTCTTCTTCTTCTTTATCTTCTTCTTCTTCTTCTTCTTCTTCTTCTTCTTCTTCTTCTTCTTCTTCTTCTTCTTCTTCTTCTTCTTCTTCTTCCTCTTCCTCTTTGATATGGTGGCCTACCTGCCTCTATTTGTTATAAAGGATAGTTCATTAAATTGACTCTACTAAAAATAAAAAAATCAAAACTTTTTACAGTTATCAATTAACCAATTTACATATATTTACATATCAGTAATCATGGCCTGATATATGCCAAGATCTATGCACCTATATCTCAGTAGATACAAATACAATAATTAAATCATTTCTGTCCTCAGTGTACTTAATTTCTAGCTTCATTGGACAATATACACACATACAGAAGGCATAAAATATATACAAAGTGCATACAATAGAATTTTTCAGGGAAGTTGCATGCATCTAGGGAAATAACAGAAGGTTTTATGTAGGAGAAAATGTTTAAGCTGAGCATCAAAGAAAACTAGCTATTCAAAGAAGTAGAGGTGAGGGAGGGGTGGAATCTAGGAGTAAGCAGGGTATACACAAAGGTGCAAAGTGAGGAGATACAGCTCCATTTATAACTCTGCTGCTTAGGCCAATGCCTGGCACATTGTAGCTGCTTAATCAATGTTTATTGAAATGAATTGAATTATAAAGCCTCTGCAACATGCATTTGAACTCATCACTCAATTAAAGCTGTCTTCTCCAAATCCTTTAATTTGGTTATTTGGTTTAATTTGGTGAATTTGGTAATTTAATTGAATTGCCAGATTCAATTACCTTTTTTCCATCCTGATCTTCCTTGACCTCTCAAAAGCATTTGACATGATTGCTGGTCATAGCCTTCTTGATCTTCTCTCTAGGTTCTGATGGCACTGCTCCCTCCTGCTTCTCCTTCTACCTTTCTGACTACTTCTCATCTACTTTGCTGATTTTCAACTCTACCAGCCCCTTTAATCATGTGTATTCCCTAATTCCGGGCAGCTAGGTGGCACAGCGAATAAAGTACTAGCCTGGAGGCAGGAAGACTTATATTTGTGCTTTCAAATCCAGCCTCAGACACTTACTAGCTGTGTGACCCTAGGCAAGTCACTTACCGTTGTTTGTCTTACTTTCCTCAATTATCCAATGAGCTAGAGAATGAAATGGCAAACAACTCCAGTATCTTTTCCAAGAAAACCTCAGTTGAGGACATGAAAAGTTGGAAACAGCTCATCAGTAACAACACCCAATTACTTCCTCCTGGCCATATTTTCTTTTCACTCTATGTTATCTCATTTGGTAATCTTTTCAACTCCCACTGGTTCAATTATTATAATCTATGTAACTGATCCCCATATCTATATATCCAGCCCTTACCTCTTTTTAATGAGCTATAGTCATAAATCTCCAACTGGATGGATGTCTTATAAGTATCTTAAATTCAATATATCCTGAATAGAATTTATTATCTTTTCCCTCAAACTCTATCAGCTTCAAAACATCCCTATCCTTGTGGAGTGCACTGTCAACCTCCCAGTCACCAAGGCTCATCTAGGCAGGTGTTATCCTCGGCTCTCACTCTCACTGATCCCATAGATCAAATCTAATGCCAAATCTTGTTCTAACTACACAACATCTCCAATACTTTCTCTTAGCTTTGCAGTCATTACAACTTACCTAGACAGATTTTATGAAATTATTTTTAAAAATGTTTTATGTTTTAATTAATTAAAACCTATGATTTCTCTCTCCAGCATCTCCAACCTTAAAGCAGTACATAAATGACAGCTACTATTATTATTACTGTTATTATTATTTTTAACATCATCATTGTCTATATCATTTTTATTAACATTACCATCACCATCACCATCATCATCATCCTCATCATCATTATTCCTCTGGAATCATGGTTAAGCTTTATGTTGGTCAAAATTCTTAAGTCTTTCAATGTTTCTCATCCTCACCATATTTTTGTTATTCTATTTCTCTTGGTTTTGCTCACTTCGTTTTTTATGAGTTCACGTAAGTCTTCCCATCTTTCTGTAAACCAACCCTTTTGTCATTTCTCATGGTACAGTAGTATTCCATTACATTCTTATACCATTTATGCATCTATTCCCTATTTTTTTTTGTTTTAATAGGAATTCATTATTTGAATTATGTTTCTACCGTGGATTAAAATTTAAGATAAGTTAATTCATATATTAAGACTACAGAGATGACCCGGATAGGAGACTGAGTAACATCAAGGTAGAGATATGGAGGTCGGATTCAGGCACTGACAGAAACCAGTTTACTCATGCCCTGGAAGCAGGGTTTCTCTCTTTCACTCATGATTTCAAAGTGTAAAGGTCTCCTATAGAAGTTCCCCTTTGTTTCCACGTTCTTTGCTACTTCAACAAGTGACACTATAAATATCTCTTTTTTTCTTTTTACATATGGATTCTTTTCCTCTTTTTTGCTGTCAAGTTGCAATGCCATTCATTCTATTTGTCTTCCTAACTTAATTCCCTTCCATCTTCCATTCAGCTAAGGAGATGTTTCAGAAGTGGAGGTTGGATCATTTTATTCTCACCTCACAAATCTGCAATGACACCTCCCCATCATATCTAGGACATAAATTTCCTGTTTGCAATCTGAAGGTCTTCATAACTTTGTGTGTTGCTAATCTTCAAATATTCTTATCTCTTACTCTCCTCTATGAACTGTCTAATTTGGCTACACTAGACCTTTTGTGATTCATTGAATATGACTTTCCTCTCTCCCCCAAAGTTGGAATTCTCTGCCTCCTCACCTCTGCTTATTACTTTCCCTGACTTCCTTCAATACTCATTCAAAAACCCACTTTCTTCAAGACATCTAAGCTTTCCTGGTGCTGCTCTATCCCTTATCACCATCACATCCTCCTATTAATGACAACCCTTTCAGATCAACTCCATGTACTCTGTATGTATCTTGTATGTACATAAATTTGTACAGCTGGTCTCTCCCCCCATTAGAATACTCCCTGAGAGTAGGGAATGTTTTGCCTTTCCAATGCCCACTCCTTCACCCCTTGTGTCCTCAATGGTTAGCACAATGCCTAGCACACCATAAGCATTTGATAAATGCTTGGGTAATATCAGCTATTAATTTCATTGAACATTTCTCCACAGACTGTCAGCAAAATCTCTCCTTTTTGTCCTGTTCAATTCATATCCACAATTTTGTTTCATGTCAGGGCATCTATTAGTTGACAGATGTCACCCTTTTGATCCAGAGCTTCCTCATGGCATTTTTGACTTCCTTGTTTCTCAGAGAATAGATTAAAGGGTATAGCATGGGGGTGATGAGAGTATAAAATATGGCTACAGTTTTGTCAATGGGGAAGAAAGTCAGAGGACGCATGTACATGAAAATGCAGGGTACAAAAAATAGAACAACCACCGTGATGTGAGAGCCGCAGGTAGACAAAGTTTACGTCGCCCCTCAGCGCTGTGGGACTTCAGAGACCGCAGGATGACTGTGTAGGAAACAAGCAGCATGAGGAAGTTTAGCATGCAGATGGCCCCACTGTTGGCAGCCACCAGCAGAGCCAGGACATGGGTCTCTGTGCAGGCCAGTTTGAGCAATGGGTACAGGTCACACATGAAATGATCAACAACATTGGGGCCACAGAAGGGCAACTGGAAGGTGAAAAGGAGCTGGATGAGGGCATGAAGAAAGCCTCCTGTCCAGGCCACCATGACAAGGAGAACGCACCAACGGCGGCTCATGATGGCCATATAGTGCAGAGGCTTGCAGATGGCCACATAGCGGTCATAGGCCATGACTGTAAGCAGAATGATTTCTGAACCCCCAAAGAAGTGTTCTGTAAAGAGCTGGGTCATGCAGCCTTCATAGGAGATAGTTTTGCTTGCAGACACTGAGTGGACAATTATTTTAGGGGCTGTAACAGAGGAATAACAGGCATCTATGAAGGATAAGAAAGCAAGAAAAAATACATAGGGGAGCCCAGAGTTTGGCTGGAAATGATGGTGATCACAATAAGCAGGTTACCCACCAGGGTTATAACGTAGATGATGAAAAACATGACAAAAACAATTTTCTCCAAACTAGGGTCCTGAGTGAGCCCAAACAGAATAAATTCTGTCACATTCCTTTCATTCTCCATGGATGTATTCAATGTCAAGATGAGCAGTGCATGAAGTCTGCAAAAATAAATGTCGCTCTTACTACTGACACTTTGCATTTATTTCACATAAGAAACCTCTGGGAGCCAAAATGATTTTGCCAAATTCCCCAAAGAATGACAGAATAAATGTTTATTTTTTTTCAATTTTTTTTCTTGTTAAATGGGGAGGGGGAGGATGCAGCTGACTGTGTCCCGGATTTGGAGTCAAAAGGTAAGGGAGAGGTGAATCCTGGCTCTACTACTTGCCATCTAGGCCAGCTATGTCTCCATTTGGGTATCAGTTTGTTCATGCGAAAATGAGACAATTACATTATATGATCTCTGAAGTTCCTTCCACTTGTAAATGCATCATCCCTATGTGAGTATTACAGAACAAAGTGATGGTTTTAGAAAAAAAGTAATACAGTACTGGGTATCAAAGAAAGGAACTGTGTGGGATGGAGTATCCCATTATATATAGGTAATGGGAAATATATACATATATAATGTACTATACAAAATATATAATTATGTTAGTATTATTTAATTATCTGTTATATTATTTACATATTTATTATTGTATGAACATTATATTAATTATATCCATATAATATTATATTATAATTGCATTTTATTATTTATAATTTTATATTATATTATATGTGACATACAATTGAATAATGTTATATTATCAATAATATATGCAAGTAGATATGTGCAGATGTGTATGATTATGTACCCATATTTATACACAAACATATTTACAGCTGTTTATATATGCATATATACATATATGTGTGTGTATGTATGTATATATGCACACACAAAGTTTAAAAAAATTTATTACAATATTATAAAGATTCTTTAGGAAATTTATAGTCTGAACAGTTAGCATATGATATTCAGCGGAATTTTGGACGCAAGGAGTCTATGTCAATCACTGGAAGGGACCTCAGGCCCAGAAAAGTTAAATGACATGACCAAGGTCACATAGGTAATAAACATCAGAAGTGGCATTTGACTCCAGGTGCCCTAACTCCCAAACCAATGTTTCTTCTATTGACCTTTGTGATCTTATACTAAAATCAATTCTACCATCACATATCCAAAAATTGTTTCTGTTTTGCTTTTTTCATTACCCAGTATTAAAATCCTCCTGACAGGCCATATAAGAATAATTTTTCCACTTGACTCTAAATGACATTCCATCATTTTGTTTTTTTCATTGCATGTGGCCCTGGCTATCTTGGAGAGTCTCTTTGGGAACAAGTGAAAAGACCATTTGTTTTGACTCACAATTAAGGGAGAGAAAAACAAAACAAAACAAAACAAAAAAACTAAAGATACCCCTAACAGTGTCAATCTGTGCATAGTTCTTCACTGTCTGACAGGGTCTCATCTTACAAAGAAAGGAACTGGGCAGGCTCTCGCTCCGACATTCTATTGGGTGGGTAACCAAATAGTGTTTCTTTTTTGGGGGGGGGGGAAGCAATTGGGGTTAAGAGAACTCAGGTCCTCCTGACTCCAGCACCAGTGCTCTATCCACTGCGCCACCTAGCTGCCCCCGAACAGTGTTTCTTACAGCCTTCCCAGGTGATCATGAGTCAAACAAAAGGGCTGGAGGAGTCATTGGATTCAGTCTAAATGAATTCTCTACAGTAGGTGATAAATACAGCCCTAATTAATATCAAATTCTTTTTCTTTTTCCTCTCAGGCATTTTTGACATTTACTTAAAACTAAATGTATATTTGCATAAAGTCACTAACTTTTCCACGTACCTAACACATAGCTTGGGACCTAACATAATTTTCCAAATCTGTAGAATTTCCTTTTTAGTTTGTTTTTTAAATGTCGATAACAATATTTGAACAATTTATCTCACACAATTATATGATGAAAGGACTTTGTAAAGCCTAAAGTGCAATAGAAATGTGCATTGTTTTTATAAGGATTTAGGTGTAGAAGGAATCTTAACTTTATAGCACCATTTTATATATAACAAAACATGACGTCATGAAGATCACACAGAGAGAGAGAGTAGGTAGCAGTATTAATGTACACTACGAAGCGCATTGCATGAACCCCCCTCTCCCCTTCTCTCTGTCTTTGTCTCTTTCTGTCTCTCTCTCTCTCTCTCTCTCTCTCTCACACACACACACACACACACACACACACACACACGCACACTTTTTTGCCTGCCTATACTTTATCCATCAGTGACAATCTTGGGAAAGATTTAGTGTACTGTCTCCACCCAGCCCTCAGAGCCCGAGTTCCCTGATCCCTACAATGCAATGCAGGGCATGAAACCTGTAGCCTTGAGGGCTAGATGTGGCCTTCTAGGTCCTCAAGTGTGCCTCTTTGACTGAATTCAAACTTAACAGAACAATTCAGTCAAAGGGCCACACTTGAGGACCTAGAGGGTCACATGTACCCTCAAGGCCGCAGGTTCCCAACCCCTGAATAATGTACATCATGATATCATAGATGTAAAGCTTTAGGCATCATCTTATTCAACATCACTTGATATTACTTCCTGAGCCTCCATTACCCATGTTATAAATTGAGGTAATAGATATAAGAATAGCATCTACTTAAGCCATTTATTATAAGAATCAAATATAGCATATATCTGTATGTATATAAACATACACACATATGCTACAATACACACATTATATATAATGTATATATATGTATACTTTTATACATATCCAAAAGTCTGTCCAAATAATTGCGTTAATATCATCCATTAACATTTCATACATGAAAAAAAGGTACAGAAACATTAAATGAGTTGCCCAAGTTCACAAAGGATTTGACTCTAGGTTCTCTGACTCAGTGTTTCGCACTTCTGAAGCACAAGTATACCTAATTCATTTTTTTTCTAAATCTTTTTTCCTTTTTTGTAAATGTCTCTTTTACAAATCCTATTACTGGTGTCCCCACTTTTGTCAGCTATGCAGAAGTGAACCCTGGGAACATGAATAAAATAAAAGATTACAGTGGTATTATCCTTTAAGTTTTGCAAAGTACTTTCCATCCGTTTTCTTACTTTGGCTTCATAAATCTGGAGCATATAAATTCAAATGTATTTAGGAGAAAGCAGGGACTGTTCCCAAGCTAGGGCCTCTGTCTTTATTTCTCAGGGTCTAGATTGCATTGGGCAGGAACTACAGGTATCATCATCACCATCATCATCATCACCATCACCACCACCACCACTGTTTTGCAAAATGAGACACAAGAAAAAAGCAAATAACTTGTCTTTGCTCATGCAAGTGTAAGAATCAGGGCTCTTCTTATTGAAAGCTCACCTTTCTTTCCATTACATGCCACCAATTCTAATCTCCTAGCTTCGAATTTCCTATTCTAGACACTATGCTAGTCCAAACTAAAAGTTCTAAAGTTCTCTGACTTTTCATTAAAGCTGTTTCCTCTGAACCTAATTCACTTATCCACATCTTAGTGGCATGCCCGTGGGAGGCAGCTGATAAATGCTTGTTTGATTGGAGAGCTCAGCACCATCTTCATTCTGTCATTTGGCCTCTGCTATACCATATTACCTCAGCTGAGAATACAGGGACCTGCAGAGGAGGACTGGCTTGCCTCAGTACACACAGGAGGAAAAACAAAAATGATACCTCACATTATTCTAGTGCTTTAATTTTCAGAAAAGCTATTTGCTCACCTGTGAGCTGGGGAGTAGTAGAGTCCAACCACAGCCTTGTGAGTTTAGTAGTGAGAATATTATCCACATTTCACAGATGAAGAAATTGAGACTTTGAGAGGTGAGGTTATTTGAACTGGTATACAATAGGTAGCAAGTCCTGGTGGGAAAACGGGTCTTATGATGCCAAACCCAGTGTTCTTTCCACTATCCCACAATTAATTAAATATGACCCCTTTTTGGTTTGGGTCTAAAAGGGAACAGACTAATAGGGCTAAGACAAGACTAGAGAGTCTAAAATAGGGGACCCAGATAATTGCACTGACCACCTCTGCCACAAGAGACAGATAAATAAAGTGTTTCTATTTGGTTCTAATCCCAGACAATCCATGGAAAGATTAAGGATACTTGAGAGGTGGGAAAAGGCAAGGAGCAAGGAGAAAAACTGGCCTAGTTGAGATTATACAGGGAAACTTTTTTTTTTAATTTCCCATTCTCTTTATTTTAGCCCTGGTCACACAGATATTAGGAATTTAGAGCAAGGAACTGAACATAACATTTAATGTGACCCTTCATTTTACAGTTGAGGAAACTGACTCCCAAAGAGTAGTATTGACTTGTCCAGGGTCATTCAGGGTGGAATTATCAGAACGGGGACCTGAGCCCATCTCTCAAGGCTCCAATAAGCATCTGCACAGCAGAGGGTGAGGAAATAAAAGGAGATTTTAAGGTCATCTAGTCCAATGCCTGCCCTTTTATCCTCACTGGTGCCCAAGCCAGGTCAGTGGCAGCAGCAGAACAAGAGACAACACCCTCTATAAAAGTTCTTCAAGTCTTATTGCCTCCTCTTCCTCCCATCCCCCCCACCAAAAAAAAAAACCTTACAATTCTCCCCTTTCTCTAACTCCCCCATTTCCCCACAAATCTCATATTCTAATCCACCATAATGTATCACACTGTTCAGGGGGTCAGAGCAACTGAAATATTTACCACCCTCTGTGTGTGTGTGTGTGTGTGTGTATGTGTGTGTGTGTGAGAAAGAGACAGAGAGAGAGAAATAGGCACCATCAGACAGAGACAGAGACACAGAGAAAGAGAGAGATATAGAGGAAAGAAGGAAGGAAGACAGGAAAACAGGAAGAAAGGAAGAGAGGAAGGAAGGAAGGAAGGAAGGAAGGAAAGAAAGAAAAAGAAAGAAAGAAAGAAAGAAAGAAAGAAAGAAAGAAAGAAAGAAAGAAAGAAAGAAAGAAAGAAAGAAGACTGAAAAGTGAAAGCAATTCACAAAATGAAAGTTTTTTGTGCATTTGTAGTGGGCTCCATTTTCCTGAAACCCTCTCAAAAGGAAAAAAA